CCACCCCCACCCCCCCGGATCTGCCACTGGTTGTTGCAAGTTGCTTAGTTATACTAAAAAATACAATTCCATGTCAGAATTACCTCCCTTCAAACACTGACTCATTTATAATCTAATTAAGCAGCCATGAGCAAGCTTGAAAGAAAAGGTAAATACCTCATAAGTGAGGATGCAAACATCAAGCTGGAAATGAATATCAGCAGGGTCCGGTTGCTGAGCTCTAGTTATAGTATCCAGCAAAAAGGTAGATTTGAAATCGTGAACCACTCTACTGAAATGTTTGTGATATGTATCTACACACAATTTACCGTCTAATATTAATCATGTACTTTGTAGTAGATTAATCAGTTTATTAGCCTAACTGATCAATAGTCGACAAAGTTGATTAATCAGATTACCACTAACACAAGCTGCTATCCAACATGGAGATGAAAAACAGGAAGTCAAATATTCACAAAATATTTATCTGTTTAAACATTATCACGATTTGCAGAAAGTGAATTATACTCAATAACCACATATATTTGTTATATTTCAATAAATTGTGCACCAAAATATGATTCCATGCCTATGCTATGTTTGAAAATTTTATAAATTACCTTTTATATTTCAGGGTGCTGTAAGGATTGCCGTGAAAGACTTTGAAAGTCAAAGAGCCAAGTTATATGGTCCTCAAAATCTATGGTATCATGTTGACTGTTTCGTGTCGGAAAGAGAAGACTTGGAATTTACTACAGATAAAAACCCAGATAAGTAAGCACTAAATGTACAGGGTACTCGTGTCACCCAGAGAAGTAATCACTAAATGTACAGGGTACTTATGTCACCCAGAGAAGTAATCACTGAATGTACAGGGTTCTCGTGTCACCCAGAGAAGTAAGCATTAAATGTACAAGGTACTTGTGTCACCCAGAGAAGGAATCACCAAATGTACAGGGTACTCGCGTCACCCAGAGAAGTAATCACCAAATGTACAGGGTACTCGGGTCACCCAGAGAAGTAATCACTATATGTACAGAGTACTTGTGTCACCCCGAGAAGTAATCACTAAATGTACAGGGAACTAGTGTCCCCCAGAGAAGTAATCACTTAATGGACAGGGTACTCGTGTCACCCAGAAAAGTAATCACTAAATGTACAGGGAACTTGTGTCACCCAGAGAAGTAATCACTTAATGGACAGGGTACTCGTGTCACCCAGAGAAGTAATCACCAAATGTACAGGGCACTCGTGTCACCCAGAGAAGTAATCACTTAATGGACAGGGTACTCGTGTCACCCAGAAAAGTAATCACTAAATGTACAGGGAACTTGTGTCACCCAGAGAAGTAAGCATTAAATGTACAGGGTACTTGTGTCACCCAGATAAGTAATCACTAAATGTACAGAGTACTTGTGTCACCCAGAGAAGTAAGCATTAAATGTACAAGGTACTCGTGTCACCCAGAGAAGTAATCACTTAATGTACAAGGTACTCGTGTCACCCAGAGAAGTAATCACTTAATGTACAGGGTACTCATGTCACACTGTTACCAATACAAGGGTTATTATCTATAATAACTGGTTCATTAAATTTTAAAAACTAAAAGGTGGCATATTTGCAGATGCAAAAGATCTTGGTGAAAAACCTGCCAGGAAACAGCATCTAAGCAGTAGATGTATGTCCCTATTTCATTAAAATGGACAGCTTCTGGCTAATTCAATAGTTGGAAGTTCAGATTCATCACAATGAATTAAAACAACTACAGGGTTACTCCAAGCTCTAAAACAAATTTTGTAAGACTTTATTTTTCATTTAGAATGTCTAGCTGACTTTCCCTTTTCAGGTGGCTTCTTAAAATATGTATCAATATAAGAATTAGTAGTTATGCAATGTTAAAATGTATACTGTCTGGATGATTCAGACCTGTTTACATCTACGATTTTAGCGTAGTTTCTACGATTATTGAAGTTAAATTACGCTCTACACTTTGGAGAGTAGTTTCTATGCTTTCTACCAAAAAAATCCAACATAATGCCATTGCGGTTTTGTCGTCCTTTGTTGTGTTCTGTATCAAACGCACCCTGTAAACCACAGTCATACAGATGCTAATCACAATTTTTATGAACATTACAAACACCAAAGTGATCCCGTATTCATCTTGTAGTTTATAGCCGATAATCGCAGAGTGGTTTCAAATGGACATCCCTCTAATGGTTAATGAAGGTTCCCGACGCGTTCCAAATATTGGGAAACGGTGACAGCCATTTTGACATGAGCAGATGATGCTGAAATGAAAATACCAACAAGATGTTCCGCCAAGTAATAAAAAGGTGGCGACCCAGAGGTACCAATTATCCTACACGGAAAAATTTGAACTGCCTACAGCCCTCCAGGAAGGGCGACACGTTCGTTTGTGCATTGCACTGTCTGCCGATCAGACTTCTCCTGCAATATGGCAGTAATATATGGCGCCCCCTCCCACACCTCCCCTGCCTCACCGCTACACTGCTCACATGCTGGCGCAGCATGCTGGATACTATACTTTGCTACGTCAAACTACACTTTAATTTCTCTCTGATAGATAATGGTGTAAACAGGTCAGCATGATTGATTTCAGCGACATCTTTTTTCAAACAGGTAATAATGGTGTCCAGATAATTCATAATAAAAAATCCTCATAGTAAGAATTTCTGATATATACGAGACATAATCATAATATTATCATACTGACAACGTTGCTTCCGACCCAATTATTTTAATTTTGTATAATAAATATACCTTCCTTTTCCTAGAATTAAAGGTTTCAATCGGTTAAAGAAAGAAGATCAAGAGGAATTATTTACGAAGCTGGGAAAAGGTGAAAAAATGTGAGTTAGTAACATTATTGTCACAAGGTATATGGTATGGATTGTTGACATTCTGTTTTCATGTTTGGCTGTATTCTAGATCGCCTATTCAGATGTCTGTATTCTGATTTATTCAGACACTTGCTTTATAGTGAAGGTAAATATGAGCTATAGATCACAATAAGCTTCCCCTGACTTTCTTTTTATTTGAAATTAAATGGAAACAGTAGTCCTCAAATTTAATGAGATTAAGACTCATTTTAGACTCATTTTGATGACAATTACTAATTCATGTAATGTTGAATTGAAATTTTCAAGTGTTGTCATATATACATGTAACTACTCTTCACTGTTATGGATAAGTCACAAATTTGCAAAGTTAAACCTATGGAGAGTTTTGCATTTCAGTTATCAATAAACTCTGTAGGTGTATAATGTGAATATTTATCTGTAATTTTCTGATACAGTAAGAAGCGAAAAGGAGATGCAAAGGGAGATGCTGGCGGCAAAAAGGCAAAGAAAGAAGAAACAGAGGAGGAAAAACAGCTTCGGGTATGTGCAAGACACTTCAATACCAATATATAATACTAGTTCTGTTGAGGGTCAGTATCCCAGTGAAAAAATACTCTTTCATGCCCAGGGGAGTAGGATAGGGAAATTCCACCTGATGGGTTTTGCCAAATTTGAAAATCAGGAGGTTGGAATTTCCCTATCTTATGCCCTTGGGCATAAAATAGTATTTTTCTCTCATTCCAACTATCAAAATAAGCTCAGAAACCATGAAAATGTGTTTGGACAGGCTACCATTTTGAAAATATAGACTTTCCCACAGCTTTTTGGACGAAAACGAAACAGTCGGTCAGATTAAGCATACTCTATTTGTAAGCAAATTTTGCGCAGAAGAATTAATCTCCCACCTATTTAACGTGAGCGGTAAATATATTGATTATGAAACAGAGAATATCCTGATGTCACATCATTGTTGAGCCTTTGTGATGTCACGTCACGTAAAATGGGGTGTAGGATTGAAATTTTGTACACCCCTTTCTTAGCCTCAATAGGTCTGTCTTACACACAGGGAAATGAGAGAAAAAGCCATCCTACATGGCTGTATACTTTTCCTACTGATTTTTATAACTCATGTTGTTCAACTTTTCCTCTCCCAAATTATACTTGCATGGTGTTTGAGATTTTATTGACGGTATGCGATAGATCTTCAAAAGTTGTGACACCCTAGTGTTGTTCAAGTGGATAAATAAAGTGTGACAAAAAAATAAAGCTGTTTTTAGTGCTACAGGCATGATTATTAGAAGCAGCAAATTGAACACTTTTAATTTACTGCACAATCTGGCGTTAAAGCTACACAAAATCCAATATCTATGCAGTATTGAAATATTGACAATTTTCTACTCTTCCATGCCTTTAATGAATTAAAAATGTTGGTAAATAGTAATTCTTTGAAATTCTTTGTTAATCTTTACAGGAACAAAGTCAGCTTATTTGGAAGAACAGAGACCTTCTATCAAAGAGTGTATCAAACAACGCCATCAAAGTCATGTTACAACTAAATAATCAGGAACTACCAACCGGTGAAAGTAGAGTAAGTTATAGTACAACTTAATGACCAAGGACTTCCCACAGACGAAAGTGGAGTAAGTTATGTTACAGCTAAATAATCAGGAACTACCCACAGACAAAAGTGGCGTAAGTTATGTTACAACTAAATAATCAGGAACTACCAACCAGTGAAAGTAGAGTAAGTTATAGTACCACTTAATGATCAAGAACTTCCCACAGACGAAAGTGGAGTAAGGTATGTTACAGCTAAATAATCAGGAACTACCCACAGACAAAAGCGGAGTAAGTTATGTTACAACTAACTAATCAGGAACTACCAACCGGTGAAAGTCGAGTAAGTTATAGTACAACTTAATGATCAAGGACTTCCCACGGACGAAAGTGGAGTAAGTTATGTTACAGCTAAATAATCAGGAACTACCAACCGGTGAAAGTAGAGCAGGTTATAGTACAACTTAATGATCACGAACTTCCCACAGACGAAAGTGGTGTAAGTTATGTTACAGCTAAATAATCAAGAACTTCCCACAGACGAAAGAGGAGTAAGTTATGTTACAGCTAAATAATAAGGAACTACCAACCGGTGAAAGTCGCGTAAGTTATAGTACAACTTAATGATCACGAACTTCCCACAGACGAAAGTGGTGTAAGTTATGTTACAGCTAAATAATCAAGAACTTCCCACAGACGAAAGAGGAGTAAGTTATGTTACAGCTAAATAATCAAGAACTTCCCACAGACGAAAGAGGAGTAAGTTATGTTACAGCTAAATAATCAGGAACTACCAACCGGTGAAAGTAGAGCAGGTTATAGTACAACTTAATGATCAAGGACTTCCCACGGACGAAAGTGGAGTAAGTTATGTTACAGCTAAATAATCAGGAACTACCCGCAAACAAAAGTGGAGTAAGTTATGTTACAGCTAAATAATCAGGAACTACCCACAGACGAAAGTCAAGATGTTATGCGTTTCTTGGAGGAAATATTTTGGCTTCTCTGCCCTGCCAATTTCCAAACTGACAAATGTTTGCAGGTGCAAATCTCTTATATGATGTAATAAAGGAGAGAAGAGCCAACACCGTTCCAATTTAGGTAGGGTCCTTAAGTAGTGTGCTTGCTGGAAAATGGATACCAATCAGTATGCAGGGTGTCCACTCAATCTTATATGATGTATATGTTTTGTTTGTGTATGTTAATGTTGTTTTTAGGTCATCCGAGCTTTGCTCAAGTGACTTATTCTGATCACTTTCCATCCGTCGTGCGTAAACTTTTTACATTTTCAACTTCTTCTCAAGAACCAGTGGATGAAATTTTTTCAAACTTGATCAGAATCATCCTTGGTACAGTAAATGAGGCTACAAAATTGTAAAATTGGGATTCCTACCTCGACCCCTGGGGCCAGGGTGGGGCCCCAGAGGGAAAATTAACCAATATTTCAAAAATCTTCTTCTCCAGACTCTGAGGTACTACAGTCATTCTCTCTGCATGGATGGAAAGATCATCAGGGGCTTTATTTAAATTGTAAATTTCAGGACCCCTGAGCCATCCATTCCCCCTTGGGGAGGGGGTAAAGTTTACTATAGTTTATATAGTGAAATATCATTTTTGGGTATATTTTATCCATTTTCATCAGACAATTATTCAAACTTGGTCAGAATCATCTGTGGTGGATGAGGGTATTACATTGTAAAATTTGAATTCCTGCCCCATCCCCAGGGGCTGGGGCACATTTACCAATATTTTAAAATTCTTATTCTTTGATGACATGGCAAGTATTGTATTTCACTTAGTTTACATGCTGATTTCCACATCACATCTAAACAATAAAATAAAGCTTCCAGTACCTATGATATTACTCAGGTGACCGCTAAGGCCCTTGGGCCTCTTGTTACATTATGTAGCTGCCATACTGATGATGATGTGGTATATAATTATGTATATATTATATAGCTCCTTGATGCCTGTGCTGATGCTTTGGTGTTTGGAGCTCTTGAAAAATGTCCAGAGTGCAAGAAGGGACAGCTTGTTTACTCGTAAGTTCTTTACCTGTCCGGAATAATAAATTGTTCTGGGGAAATTGAAAAAATAACTGTATCAGGGAATACCAAAGCTAGCCTTAAACCCACTTACAGATTTATAGACGACTTTTATGTATTCTATAATGCATCTGTATGTTTTGAAAATGTTGATCTGGCGAATCTCATTTCGTTATGGAAGTGAGATAGTATTGAGATGGATAGTAATACATCTGTAACACATCTCCCAGCCAGAGAAAGGCACCCGCTATTCAGGAAAGCGGTCGCTAGACAACATTTTAAGAAGAAAAATATTTTCCATCTGTGCTTATTATGTCTATTGAAAACTTGAACAATGAAAACAAATTCTTCCTTCTCAGAGCTGTTGGGTACAAATGTTCAGGGGACATGACCGAATGGACCAAATGTATGTATATCACAAAGACGCCCAAAAGGAAGACCTTCAAAATTCCCAAGGAGTACCATGATGTCCCATACCTGTGAGTACATACTGGTCATAGTTCTATGAATGCCACTGCTTGCTTGGTTATGACATCATATCTATGATAAGATAGAATACCATTGACCCTTAACATTATATTTTCTAAAATATTAACATATTATTAAATGGTAATAAAAACTTGCAGCATTATTCTGTTTGTATTCATGCACTATTGATTAATGCAAACTGTTTTACCAAATGGTGGAGCAGTCAATTTTACAGGGAAAATGTTTTGATGGTTATCATTTCCATTAAGTGACGAATATCGATTGAAAACCATTCAGGAATTTTTGCCTAACTTTGAATATGAAGTCATGACATAATTTGTCCTAGATTACTCTAACCATGTGATGTTATGACCTGATCATTTTCCTATTGGAAAATATTTATGTTTATTAGTTCTCGCTGTTGTTTTGGTATTTTGAGTTTGATTGTGACTATTTTCAATAGCCGTGCAAGAGTTACATCCCTTTCACTTTAGCCGTTTTGCAACAATATATGAAAAATATACTGAATTGATTTGTAAACACTAGCAGACATTTGGCTTAATTTGTTCATTAGTTTAGTGTAGGGATATGATCAACACTGTTAAAAGCTTGAAATTGTGTCAAATTTGGTGGGGACATTTTTTTATACATTCTAACATTTGGTTAAAAAATAGATATCAGTTAGGTGAAAGACTTGGTCCACTTAAAGGACTCGCAACAAAATCAACCAATCAGTATGGTACCCATTAGAAAATAATGTATTTATAATGGTATTAATTAAAATAGTTGATGTGTGAAGGTATATCAACACGAAGATTGATTTTATCAGGCTATAACTATCTGTATATAACATAGTGTTAGTTTGTAATTGTTACTGGTCATGACTGCCGATAGATGTATCATTGTTAGTTGTTACTGTTTGAATACAGGGAAAACACAAAGCTGCATTACTCTTTAAGTAGTCAAACACCGATAAGTTATACTTGTCTGAGATTCGTAAATGAAATGTATTTAATAGTGTTATGTGAATATATATATATGGTATGTTAAAATAATGATATATATTTTTTTCCAGAAAAAGTTTCAAGTTTCAGAAAAGAGAACGATTATTTAATTCTGCTGCAGTAGCAAGCTCTCTTGAGGGTTCCATGGATACAATGGATTCTGGAGCTGGGTCAGTAAATACGTAAATAATAAGCAGCTGATTGCTAAATCTGAAGTTCTTCTAGAAACATTATCTAGACAAATCAATGTAAACAAAAAAGTGTAAAATTGGAAGGGCCTGACTCTGTGTAGTCTGATTGTCAAATGTTCAAACCAACAGGTCAAACTCGACCGACCCTATGCTGAAAACAAACATTTAGTATGATAACAACAAGTTTTGTTCCTGGTTTGAGTTTGGTGGACATTGGTCAATGTTAAATGATCAAACATCCCCAAAGATAATTACAGCATAGTATTTTTAAAATTTTTCTACACATCAGAGTTTGGTGGTATTCAATCCATGTTAAATGGTCAAACACAACCACTTTTGATGATTTAGTTTATGCACGTATTTTCACCATAGTAACATGACATTCTAAACTGATCACTGATTAGTAGTTATCGGTCAAGGCAAGACTCAAACGTCACATGTGACCTCTTTGGTGGGAGTGTGTCTTTGTGATTCCATGTTCACTTGATCTTTATCATGTTATTGTTTCAGGCCATCTTCATCCACACAATCATTGGAGGGAATGAAGTTTGTTATAACAGGAAAAACGGCAAAACCTAAAGAGGAGCTTGCTCGGGAGATCACTCGACTAGGAGGATTTGTTGTAGATAAAGTATCATCTGATGTGGCAGCTTGTATTACTACAAAGAGTAAGTGTAGACCAGGATGGACTAGTGTAAGTGTACACCAGGATGGACTAGTGTAAGTGTACACCAGGATGGACTAGTGTAAGTGTAAACTATAACAGACTAGTGTAAGTGTAGACCAGGATAGACTAGTGTAAGTGTAGACCAGGATTGACTAGTGTAAGTGTAGACTATAACAGGCTAGTGTTAGTGTAGACCAGGATGGACTAGGGTAAGTGTACACCAGGATGGACTAGTGTAAGTGTATACCAGGATGGACTAGTGTTAGTTTAGACCAGGATGGACTAGTGTTAGTGTGGACCAGGATGGACTAGTGTAAGTGTATACCAGGATGGACTAGTGTTAGTTTAGACCAGGATGGACTAGTGTTAGTGTGGACCAGGATGGACTAGTGTAAGTGTACACCAGGATGGACTAGGGTAAGTGTACACCAGGATGGACTAGGGTAAGTGTAGACTATAACAGACTAGTGTTAGGGTAGACCAGGATGGACTAGTGTAATTGTAGACCAGGAAGGACTAGTGTAAGTGTAGACTATAACAGCCTAGTGTTAGTGTAGACCAGGATGGACTAGTGTTAGTGTAGACCAGGATGGTCTAGTGTTAGTGTAGACCAGGATGGTCTAGTGTTAGTGTAGACCAGGATGGAATAGTGTAAGTGTAGACTATAACAGACGAGTGTAAGTGTAGACCAGGATGGACTATTGTAAGTGTAGACTATAACAGACTAATGGAAGGGTAGACCAGGATGGACTAGTGTTAGTGTGGACCAGGATGGACTAGTGTAAGTGTACACCAGGATGGACTAGTGTAAGTGTACACCAGGATGGACTAGTGTAAGTGTACACCAGGATGGACTAGTGTAAGTGTAGCCCAGGATGGACTAGTGTAAGTGAAGACTATAACAGACTAGTGTAAGTGTAGACTATAACAGCCTAGTGTTAGTGTAGACCAGGATGAACTAGTGTAAGTGTAGACTATAACAGACTAGTGTTAGGGTAGACCAGGATGGACTAGTGTTAGTGTAGACTATAACAGACTAGTGTAAGGGGAGACTATAACAGACTAGTGTTAGCGTAGACCAGGATGAACTAGTGTAAGTGTAGACTATAACAGCCTAGTGTTAGTGTAGACCAGGATGAACTAGTGTAAGTGTAGACTATAACAGGAAAAACGGCAAAACCTAAAAAGGAGCTTGCTCGGGAGATCACTCGACTCGGAGGATTTGTTGTAGATAAAGTATCATCTTATGTGGCAGCTTGTATTACTACAAAGAGTAAGTGTAGACCAGGACAGACTAGTGTTAGTGTAGACCAGGATGGTCTAGTGTTAGTGTAGACCAGGATGGAATAGTGTAAGTGTAGACTATAACAGAGTAGTGTAAGTGTAGACCAGGATGGACTATTGTAAGTGTAGACTATAACAGACTAGCGTTAGTGTAGACCAGGATGGACTAGTATAAGTGTAGACCAGGATGGACTAGCGTTAGTGTAGACCAGGATGGACTAGTTTAAGTGTAGACCAGGATGGACTAGTATAAGTGTAGACCAGGATGGACTAGGGTAAGTGTAGACTATAACAGACTAGTGTAAGGGGAGACTATAACAGACTAGTGTTAGCGTAGACCAGGATGAACTAGTGTAAGTGTAGACTATAACAGCCTAGTGTTAGTGTAGACCAGGATGGACTAGTGTTAGGGGAGACCAGGACGGACTAGGATAAGTGTAGACCAGGATGGACTAGTGTTAGTGAAGACCAGGATGGACTAGTGTAAGTGTACACCAGGATGGACTAGGGTAAGTGTACACCAGGATGGACTAGGGTAAGTGTACACCAGGATGGACTAGTGTAAGTGTATACCAGGATGGACTAGTGTTAGTTTAGACCAGGATGGACTAGTGTAAGTGAAGACTATAACAGACTAGTGTAAGTGTAGACCAAGATGGACTAGGGAAAGTGTAGACCAGGATGGACTAGTGTAGGAGTAAAATATAACAGACTAGTGTTAATGTAGACCAGGATGGACTAGTGTAAGTGCAGACCAGGATGGACTAGTGTAAGTGTAAACTATAACAGACTAGTGTAAGTGTAGACGAGGATGGACTAGTGTAAGTGTAGACCAGGAAGGACTAGTGTAAGTGTAGACCAGGATTGACTAGTGTAAGTGTGGACTATACCAGACTAGTGTAAGTGTAGACCAGGATTGACTAGTGTAAGTGTAGACTACGACCGACTAGAGCAAGTATAGACTACGACAGACTAAAGTAAGTGTAGACTACGACCGACTAGAGCAAGTATAGACTACGACCGACTAGTGCAAGTGTAGACCAGGATGGACTAGGGTAAGTGTACACCAGGATGGACTAGGGTAAGTGTACACCAGGATGGACTAGGGTAAGTGTAGACTATAACAGACTAGGGTAAGTGTAGACCAGGATGAACTAGTGTAAGTGTAGACTATAACAGAGTAGTGTAAGTGTAGACCAGGATGGACTATTGTAAGTGTAGACTATAACAGACTAATGGAAGGGTAGACCAGGATGGACTAGTGTAATTGTAGACCAGGAAGGACTAGTGTAAGGGTAGACCAGGATGGACTAGGGTAAGTGTAGACTATAACAGACTAGGGTAAGTGTAGACCAGGATTGACTAGTGTAAGTGTAGACTACGACCGACTAGAGCAAGTATAGACTACGACAGACTAAAGTAAGTGTAGACTACGACCGACTAGAGCAAGTATAGACTACGACAGACTAAAGTAAGTGTAGACTACGACCGACTAGAGCAAGTATAGACTACGACAGACTAAAGTAAGTGTAGACTACGACCGACTAGAGCAAGTATAGACTACGACAGACTAAAGTAAGTGTAGACTACGACCGACTAGAGCAAGTATAGACTACGACAGACTAAAGTAAGTGTAGACTACGACCGACTAGAGCAAGTATAGACTACGACAGACTAAAGTAAGTGTAGACTACGACCGACTAGAGCAAGTATAGACTACGACAGACTAAAGTAAGTGTAGACTACGACCGACTAGAGCAAGTATAGACTACGACAGACTAGCGTAAGTGTAGACCAGGATGGACTAGCGTTAGTGTAGACCAGGATGGACTAGGGTAAGTGTAGACCAGGACGCACTAGAGTAAGTGTAGCCTACGACAGACTAGAGTAAGTGAAGACTACGACAGATTAAGTACTGTAGACCAGGATGAACTTGAGTAAGAGTAGACTAGGGCAGACTAGTACAAATTTAGTAAATGTATATATTTATTTTTTGCGTAATTCAGCCAAGGATTTTACCTAAAATACAATTATTTGGTTTGCATATTTACTAAATGAAAATCCTGAAAGTATGATTAAAAGTCAGCAGGCAGATATTTGTTATTTGAAAGAAATTGATAAATGCATACTGGTACAAAAATGTCTGGTAATCTGGTAAAGTGTACTTTATGCTTTGTAGAGGAGGTAGACAAAAAGTCGAGGACAATAAAAGACGCTGAAAAGGCTGACATCCACGTGGTGGACGAGGGATTCCTGGAAAGTGTACAGAAAGGTGGCGCTTTACTCATGATCCAGAGTCACTCGCTAGCCACATGGGGTGCAGACGTAGGTCATATATTTGATTTATTTTGTCAAATAAAGATAAGTATTTAAAATCTTTGACCCAAATGCCTTCCCTCTATAACCTTTCAGGCATATATATTCTAACCTGTTTAATTTGTACCCTATTAAGAAAATGTTCTTCTCAAAAACTGAATGAGATTTACATTAAATAAGTGTTCATTATTATATATATATATTTTTTTTATAATTAAAAGGAGTTTATATCGAAATTTATATGAAATATTAAATTGTAAAAATCATGAATTGAACTCGCAAAGATATCAAATGTTTAATTAAAAAAATCATAGCTTTGTGAAAAGTTTTCTAGTCTTAATTTTTGCTACATTTTAGCCAACATTGCGTGTCAGCTTGCCATCTTCAAGTAAGAGTGGTGGAAAGAAGAGCAGCAAGAGTTTAGGTGCTTACAAAGCTGCCGCAGGTAGGACCAAAAACCATGTGGAAAATCATAAATTTGTGTTTATGTATTCAGTTTCAATTAGAAAAAACAAATTCTAGAGAAGTAAAGACCGTCATCTGTAGAATAGTGTGTTATTAACTTGAGTGAGTTCAGGGTTCTTCCAAGAATTTTTTTAAGCTGATATTCTTCATTTTCAATAGACGTTCGAAGTGGACATGACGCTTTAGCACGATCAACATTAACATATATATGGAGGGTGTCATTGATTTTTGTGTCTTTAAATAAGGACTTTTATACCAAACTTTTGTCGAATTTTAAAAGCAAATTAAACAATGAAAAAAAATGTTCCTTAAATTATGTATAGATTTTTAGCAATGAATTGTCTAAATATTCTAGAGAACACTGGAGTCAATGAGTTGGGAGGTGGCGGTGGGTGAATGAGCAATCAGTGAGTTAGTGTGCTTTATGGAAGTACCTTCAGATACACAGTACTGTCATGCTTGACCTTGCTGTCACTCAGACTTCCTAGATCAATATGCCTTCTGATGACTGCAATGTATCGAGAAAACCTTGCAGACAGATACGAGGCGGACAACTCAAAAATAGTAGATTCTATACTGAACATGAAATCCATGATGCTGAATTAAGTGAAGCCATTTCATTGTTGACATGCATGGATCCTGGAGATGTTTTGATACTGGACTTGATATGTTTCTGCTCCTTAGAGTGACGTGGTGTTTTTCCAAAAAGAAACCTGTAAATTATTAGAATAGTGGTAGACTTGTTACCTCATTCACCCCTAAAGTCACATTTGAACCTGATCAAATCAAAGACTGGGCAAGTCCAGTTTTATTATGAAGGGGTGAATGAGTTAATAATGACACGATTGGAGAAGTAGGCAACAATTTAATCGTCGGTAATACTGTAGTTATACGCAGTTATGAGATTATGGTAATTGCATGCTTTTTAACAATGGTATTAAACTCAAAACACAAGTTACAGGTTTTAGTGTATATCAGGTAGCATATCTACATCATAATTTGTTTGTCTATAATTTAACATACTTGAAAGAGCTAATTAAGTAAGGCAATATTCCAAACATAAGAAAATAATCTGAGAATCAAGTTCATTGTTAATTCTGTTTTTGTATATTTTGAATTCGAAAAGCTTTTTCAAGAAAGATTTTATATGCTTATAATTGTCTTGGTTTCAGAGAAGATGTACACAAAGAGTGTCCCCAAAACCATGAAGATGACGGTGAAGGGTGGTGCTGCTGTAGACCCGGACTCAGGTGAGTCGTCCCTATATTAAGGTTAGGGTTGCTCTAGACAAAGACTCCGGTGAATCATTCTTTTATTAAGTTTAAGGTTGCTGTAGTCCCAGATTTGGATGAGTTATTCCTATATTAAGGTTAAGGTTGCTGTAGTCCCAGACTCAGATAAGTTATTCCTATATTAAGGTTAAGGTTGCTGTAGTCCCAGACTCTGACAAGTCTTTCCTATATTAAGGTTAGGGTTGCTGTAGTCCCATACTCAGATGAGTTATTCCTATATTAAGGTTAAGGTTGCTGTAGTCCCAGACTCAGATAAATTATTCCTATATTATTTTTGACTGTAATCGTAAAGGATAAGCTGTTGTTGACTGGTGACTCTTAAGTCATTTCCTTATAAACCGTGTGACAGTGGATGGGAAGAGTGGCTGCAGACCTTGAGTCTGAAAAATCAATCAAGGTTTGTGCATGTGGATAAGGATGAAAATATATCGACATGAGGCCAAATAAAATTAATTACTTGGTTCTCAGGCCAATTTTTTTCAAAATAGATGCGGCAGGGCGGTATTTTTTTTTCATTTTACATGGCAAAAACGAGATGGCGTTTTTTTTTTATTGTGTAGTTTGTAAAACGTTCATTGTGGACATAACCTTGTCTTTTTATAGTTGTGTAGAGACCTGTCATAGAGCAAGCCTACGAAAATCCCCCCACGATGTTCCAGACAAGAATCACGAACCCCCCCATTCCTTATTTGTACCGAAATGAGCGCCATTTGTACACAAGACTAATAAGTCATAATCATTTTAACGCTTGCCTGTATCTCAATCCTTACCTTTATTCAAACGTTTTCAGGACTTGGGTGACTAATGAGTAAAAACGACATGCGGACCAATTTTCCGGATTTTTTTTATTACTTTCACGATAAAATCGGCAATGCACACAGTGCCATGAAATGGGCGCGGGCCTGACAACCAAGTAATTTTTTTGGCCTAAGATATGTTCCTGCAGCAGTAAAACGTACATAGTGCTTTGCCTTTACAGTCTACCTGTTGTGTTATTACGTCTAATGTATTCACTTGACTGTGCCCCTCTCTACGGTGTATATTTGACTATCCCTCCACTTTACCTTTTGTATTTATAGGACTGGAGGATGCTGCACACACCTTGGAGGACAAGGGCAACATATACAATGCTGTCTTGGGGATGGTAGATGTTGTCAGGGGAACAAATTCTTTTTACAAAATTCAAGCCCTGGAGCATGATGGTGGCAAAAAGTATGTTTCCCAGCTGTAATTTGATGGCATGCATATGTATAGCATACGTTGCCCTGTTTGTCTTCTTTTCGTTTGAAACATGCACTTATCTTTTTTCGTGAATTAATTTAGTAATTTAAGGTTAAGCAGTGTGATATAGGATTTCCAGCTGATTAACTGATTGATGAAGGTTTTCATAGTGGCAGTAGAACTCGGTTCAAAGTTGGTCTTGAGGTCAATACAAAATATATTAAAACATGTTTAGAAAGTACCAGCTTGCTTTTCGCTAGCTGTTGCATATAATTCTGAAGCCATCAGTGTGTCCGAAACAAGGATTTATCCTGAACATCTGACTTTTAAAATTAGAGTTTATGCATATTTCTTGGATCCAACATCAGTCTTTCAATATAGTGTATACGGGAACATTTTCTTCGCACTTTAATTTTTGCTATTTTCACCCTCTGTAATAATGGCGAAATTATCATTACAGTAAAAGATTAGAACAACATAATGTTCAAAGGCCAATATAACAATGAGTGATTTTTTTTTCATGTGAAGGTCGAGGTTTGACAGGGTGAAAGCTTCCCAGTATACAGTATCTTGGCCTTTAAAATATTGTGATGTTTCAAGTGTTTTGAAAAGTTTAGTTGTTGGCGATATAAACAGGAAAATACTTAAATTAAAAACAAACATTGGTATTATATAAGATAATGACAAGAAATGCACATGACAATATGAGATATATGTACACAGTTGATTGTTTATTCTAGGTGGTGGTTGTTCCGATCTTGGGGAAGAGTGGGAACAACAATCGGGAGCAATAAGCTGGAAAAGTTCAGTTCTCGAGAAGCAGTCATTAACGCCATGCAATCCTTATATCTGGAAAAAACTGGCAATCAGTGGGATGACAGAAAAAACTTTGTAAAGCAGGCCAACAGGTTCTACCCTCTGGATATTGATTATGGTCAAGTAGGTATATGAGGAGTACATTTCTTTTTAGCGCACCTATTCAAAGAGAGGGGATAGGCTGCTAAAGTCACTCCAGTGTCGATGACCTTGTCTGTGTTCTACAAATATAAATTTGGTGCACGTGCTGAAATTTAGGATAAGATTTGATGCTTATGTGTGGCACTGAGGTTTCATACTGGTCCAAAATTGATACAATACAAAGAGGAAAGAGAGGGCCACATTGGTCGAGCGGTTCAGGCTTGTGACCGTCGGTCTATGATCACTAGCCCTCCATCTCTGGGTTTGCGGGTTGGAGGCCTTTGTGGTGCAGAAGCCAGGTACAGGCTACAGGTCGCTGATCTTTCTCTGTGCACTCTGGTTTGCCTCCATCCCCAAAACCTGGCATGTCCTTAAAGGACCATAGATGTTAATAGGACCTAAAATGCAAACAAACTAATAAAAAAGAACAGAAAATTGGTTGAAACTATTGCATAAGTGAGCAATACTGGCACTCTGTGCTTTTTGTATTGATATTCTTTAAATCGGAGCTATATTCTGTTTACCTGCATATTACAACTTCATACTTATATTAAAACTGCATTCAGTATTTCATATCTGTCTTAAGCTATTACAAAAAATCGTTCTTAGGTTTCGCTCGCATGTGTTCTTAAAGAACTGAATCGAATGAAGTCAAAAGAATGTTTCTTTGATAATATTTTTTTCTTCTAAATCTCTGTAAGAAGATTTTGTCTCGACACATGCTGATCAGCAGGATGATTGCTTTATAGATGTTTATAACACCAAATTTTGTGAGGGTAATTTTGTTGATTGGTGATGGTAAGCCACCTTTCATGGTAGTTACTTATACATGGCAAAAGTATTTACTGAGTGTTTTAATTTCCCATCAAGTCATTTTATGGACAGTTTAGCAAAATTAAATACCAAGTTCATTGTAACAGAATGAAAAACCCAGTTTATAAAAATGATAATAATAAACTTTATTTATTGAGGATAAAATACATGTTTAGCCAAAGGCTAATCTTCCACATGATCCTCTTGTTTATAACAAGTTTATAAGAATAAAAAGAAATACCAGGTGCAGAATAGAGAATTAAAATTACTTGTATGTCAAAGAAAAATGAAACACTAAATATCTAAAAAGTCATTTGTCAGTGTTGTGCCTCTGACAATTGTGACCTCTGACTGTTGTACGATTGAGTTCGGTATAAAGTGAGGTTTTGTGTATTTGTTGTGTAGGAGGATGAAGCTGTAGTGACCACACTCAAGGCAGGTGGAACAAGATCGAAGCTTCCCAAGCCAGTTCAGGATCTTATCTGTATGATATTTGATGTGGAAAGTATGAAGAAAGCCATGTTGGAGTTTGAGGTTTGTAAAATGGATTCTTAAACATGTGAAATATAGAAGCCCTGTCTTGAACATCTTATTCCTTCAAAGGGTGTCAATATTGAAGTTATTAACAAGTGTAAAGTGTGCATGTATGTTAAGAAATCGAAAATTTGTTAACGACAGCAATAACTGTTTACTAATTTCAGATTGATTTGAAAAAGATGCCACTTGGGAAGTTATCGCAGAAACAAATACAGTCTGCTTATACTGTGCTGTCTGAGCTAACAACGGTAAGTTACTTTACTCTCTGAGCTAACAACGGTAAGTTATTTCACTGCCCAAGCTAACAACGGTAAGGTATTTTTGAGCTCTGTGTGTAGAGTATTCCTATTTGGTGATTAGCTTGCTGAGATAAAAGGCTTTTATCTTGACCCAATTGAAAGTTAAAGGAGTCGAATGTGTTGAAAATGTAAAACAATATCTTCAAAGGTGTTGTTTTTATGTTGTTTACTCTAAATAAGGTCTGAGTCAACCACCTTGATCTCAAACTAGTGGAAATATGTCCATCTTTTCTAGTTCAGATAGAAACAGCAATAACGGTTTAATGGGCCTCTTGTTATAAGTTGCCACTATGTTCATGTTCTGGATGAATGTAACAGTGTAACAAGAACATTATTTTTGCTCATCTGTTGTATGGTAAAGGTTTGAACTGTTTTATCTGCTCTTTGATAGCTGATCACGACTGGCGGCACTCAGACCCAGTTCCTGGACGCTACAAACAGATTTTACACGCTGCTACCTCACGACTTTGGAATGAAGAAGCCGCCATTGATTAACTCCTTAGAGGTTATAAAGGTGAGCTCAATATGGTATACATATAGGATCTTAGAGGTTATAAAGGTGAGCTCAATATGGTATACATATAGGATCTTAGAGGTTATAAAGGTGAGCTCAATATGGTATACATATAGGATCTTAGAGGTTATAAAGGTGAGCTCAATATGGTATACATATAGGATCTTAGAGGTTATAAAGGTGAGCTCAATATGGTATACATATAGGATCTTAGAGGTTATAAAGGTGAGCTCAATATGGTATACATATAGGATCTTACAGGAGTTTCCATTATACATGAGATTTATGAAACAAGTCGTAGAATTTTCAAATGCTAAAATGAAAAATTTGTGACGAGTTTCATAGAGTGTAAGATCGTATCTATCACAATCAAGATTTGTGGCATTTATTCGTGTAAAACGACAATTTTCATGCAACCTTGAAATGTAAAAAGCTTCCATTTTGACTCCTGTGTGTAAGTCTATGACTTCATGTACTTGTCCTAGCCGTGACATCACAATTGAAACAATTGAAACTTACAACCAATCACAGGGCTGATAGGTCATATTATATGGGTTAATACGCAGAAGAATATGACATGGGTATGGTATATTCACTGGATAACACAGTACATTATGTGATCAAAAGGTTTATCTCAAAAAGGGTTTGCATTTCATTGTGTTAATATAAAGGGTATGATATGTGGAAAAGACTTCAAAAAGAAAGCAGTAAGTCCAAATATAGGTTTGCACTCCATTCGTCCTTCCATCCAAGAAGTTTGTCCAGGGCATATCTTTACTATTTCACCTGGAGTAACCAGATTTGGTGTACTAGGACATCTTGGGATGGGGAGTGCAGAGTGCAAGAATTAGGTCACTGTGACCTCTAACTTTGACCTTTACTTTTGAAAAAGTTTGTCCAGGGCATATCTTCTATTCTGTTTCACCTGGAGTAACCAGATCAGGTGAACAAGGACAATTTGGGAGTGCTGAGTGCAAGAATTAGGTCACTGTGACCTATGACTTGACCTTTGACCTTTTCTTTTGAAAAAGTTTATCCGGGGCATATCTTCTATACTTTTTCACCTGGAGTAACCAGATTTGGTGTACAAGGACATTTTGGGATGGCAGAATGTAAGAATCAGGTCACTGACCTATGACTTGACCTTTGACCTTTACTTTTGCAACAGTTTGTTAGGGATATATTTTCTATACTTTTTCACCTTGAGTAAATATAACAAGATTTGGTGTACAAGGACATCTTGGGATGGCGAGTGCAAGAAGTAGGTCACTATGACCTCACCGTGACCTATGCTTTGAACAGTAGTTACATCCTGACATAAGTGTACTGTTTGTTAAATATAGAAATCATTACCGGTGGGGACTATGGATTGCCTTGCAATACTTTGCTTTGTTTTTATAGCCTCCATTTTCTTGCATCTAACTAAATGTGAAAAGGGTTCAATGTAATCATTTGTATTGCTGAGTACAATACCGTTAAAACCTGTATGAGAAAAAAGATGATTGACAAAATATTACAGCCTGCTATGTTTAGGATATGATGTTTCATTTGAATGTTTCAAGAGAGATGTTTTGCTATAGAAGTTTGGATCCTTTGTTCTTAATGTACACTGTAAACAATTATCGTAGGCAAAGACAGAAATGATCAACAACCTACTGGAAATAGAAGTGGCCTACAGCATGCTGAAGGGAGGCGATACTGGGGAAGATCCCATTGATGCTCACTACAGGAAGCTGAACACTGAAATCGAGGTATTAATCGGAGTGAAGGTCTTTCACTAGTACTCTACAACAGAAATGGTTTATACTTACTTTGCAAAAAAAATAAAATGTTTAATGACAATTAACTTAATAGTCATTGATGTATTTTACTATTAGCATAGGACATATAGTTGCTTGTTCAAATGTTTCTGAAAGCAACAAAAGAAATTGATACCACATATTTTGTTGTTATTTACAAGACATCTGACATAAAATTCTTCAAAACTGTCCTCATTTCTTCAAGCATTTTATCATTTTGCTTCCTTTTTTTTTGATAACAAAATTATATATATTTATCATTTAAATATTTTTAGCACTTGGATCTTGCATCTGAGGAGAGCCAGAGGTTGTTAGATTATGTGAAGAACACTCACGCTGCAACACATAACCAGTATGATTTGGAGGTGTTGGACGTAAGTTGTCTCCACCATCAGAGTACCATTGCTTCACCCCTAAGGTCCAATCCTGTGTTCCAGGAAGCACAGCTGCTATTTGTATCATAATGCAACAAGATTCATTTTCTTATTGTTAGAAATAAAATCCATGATAAAAAACTTTTACATTAATAATTTAACAGTAAGGGTGTGATCGTATAACAAATATTATGGTCTGAAATTATTGTGGACTTTCAATGATTAGTTTGATTTACTAACAGAATGATGAGACACTGTTTAAGATCAAAATAATTGATCAGCAGGTGTTTTCATTAATTTCTCCTTAGCTACGATACATTTTTATATAATTTGATCAGAAAAGATTGCCAATTCAATTATTTTGCCTTTTTGACATAGTCATAGTTTAGCATTATGTTAAAAGCTTGCAACTTTCTACAGATCTTTCAAGTCATTCGAGATGGAGAGAAGTCGAGATATTCACCGTTCACAGACCTTCCTAACCGCCAGCTGTTGTGGCATGGTTCCCGCACTACCAACTACGCTGGTATCCTTTCTCAAGGTCTGAGGATTGCCCCGCCAGAGGCTCCTGTGGTAGGTGAAAATAAATACTATTACCTTCTGAATTAGAAATATTTACCAAAACATTAAATCAAAACATTGGCATCAGGAAATCTAATCAAACTTAGCTCTGAATTCTCTGTCACAACTGAAGACTTGAGTTGGGATACTTGGCCACAGCTGAGGCTGAGCTTAGAATATTGAGCCACACCTAAGACTCCAATAAGTATACATAGTTACAGCTATAGATCAGACAAAGCTCAGGGCCCATATTCATGAAGCCATTCTCATGCTCAAGCATGGATTTTGTGCTCAAGCCTTATTTCTTGTTCTGGTTATAACTCAATAAATAATCTTACTTTGTCAATGATTTGGAAACATTTTGAAGAGACTTAAAGCCAAATACTGCTTTCAATATTTACATTTGACTTTTTAGGTCTCTCTACCAAATTATTGATAACTTGTTTTTATTAATTCATCACTGAAGCAAGAAATTCGGCCTGAGCACAGACTCTGTGTTTGAGCATGATAATGGTTTTATGAATATGGGCCCAGAGGTCCTGTCAGATAGCTTAAGAATAGTTTTATATCCTTTATAAAAATTGTGAATCGTATGCAGGTGCACGTGTGGTAAGTTATTCTGAGGTTATAGAATTTTCATGTCATCTCTTACTTTGAAATATTACTTGAGGGTAGAATTTCTCCGACGATGTCTATACAAGCCTCCTTTACTGGTATGAAGCAAGATGTATAGGAAATATGGCATCAGTCATTTCATTCAATTTTAACATTTCGATGACATCATATCTACCCTACTTCCTTGGGTAAAAAATAATCCTCTGGAATAATAAGTTTTCCCTGTTTATAAAAATGAGAACTATATGCATCCTAGAAAAATACCATGAATGAATAAAGAATGACTGATAACACAATGCGTTTTCTGTGAATTTTGATAACACAAGTATTTTGTGAATTTTGATAACACACAAGTATTTTGTGAATTTTGATAACACACAAGTATTTTGTGAATTTTGATAACACACAAGTATTTTGTGAATTTTGATAACACACAAGTATTTTCTGAATTTTAGACTGGCTACATGTTTGGTAAAGGTGTGTATTTTGCGGACATGGTATCAAAAAGTGCCAACTATTGCCGAACGTCGAAGAATGATCCAGTTGGTGTGCTGCTCCTGTGTGAGGTTGCCCTTGGAAATATGTAAGTATTTGTTCATAGTATTTCTGAAATTGTCAACAAGTGAAAAAACCTTCCTATTGTAGCGTACTGTTGCAAACCAACAGTACCTGACAGCTTGTTTGTAATATGTATTTTGATTGTTAACCCTTTCACCACTGGACCGTAAGGAACTCATCCTCAATACAGTCATGGTAGAGTCTACTAAAGTTACTTAGAGGTGAAAGGGTTAATACAACCCCAAGTGAGGTGGTCCCATCCGAACGTATGGCCGCTACAACACTCAAGTATATCTATACAGACATGTAATATAAAACGTTAAATCCAAGCATATCAAAATCTGTGACGTGACCTATCATTGTCAATATTGTATTTTCATGATAGGAAACAGGTTCTGCTGACTACTATTGTAAACTTGAAGACGTTATTGTCATTTTCCCGTAACCATGACAACAGAGCAAAAGTCTGAATATACAATTCATCAAGTAAGAAGAAGACAGACGGACAGTTCATAAAATATGGTTTCAGCTATTCATTAGAACTTGACTTTGAGTGACAGAGATACTTAAATTATATTGAAGAAATTAAAATCAATGACTGTATACTTGGCAAAAATCACTTCATCACTATCAGAGTGAGAGGACGTTTTATTAATTATGTCAGAGATTTCTCCCTGGTATGTGGTTTTAAGAAACAGCATTGGAAAGATTTGAAATGTTTCATTGGATTTTGTTGTTTGTAAGATATCAAAACCCAGTTGGTTTTCTCTGTTAACTAGGTACGAGAGGTATGGAGCAGATTACATTGACAAGCTACCTAAAGGGAAACACAGCTGCAAAGGTAAGGACTTCAATTATAGGTCTTCTTACTTTAATATGTTAAAATTTATACATTAACTTGGTTACAGATGTGATCATAATGATTTCCATTTACATTACACATTCTATTTCATAGCATCACACATTTAATATTCTTTAATATAAGAAACCTGTAATATTCTCAGTCACTACATGTTCTATGTCACAGCAAAACACATTCACCATCACTACATAACACATTCTTGGTCACTACAAAACACATTCTACATCACTACATAACACATTCTAGGTCACTACAAAACACATTCAACATCACTACATAACACATTCTTGGTCACTACAAAACACATTCTACATCACTACATAACACATTCTAGGTCACTACAAAACACATTCACCATCACTACATAACACATTATATGTCGCAGCAAAACACATTCTACATCACTACATAACACATTCTACATCACTACATATAGCATTCACCATCACTACATAACACATTCTTGGTCACTACAAAACACATTCTACATCACAACATATAGCATTCACCATCACTACATAACACATTCTTGGTCACTACAAAACACATTCTACATCACTACATAACACATTCTACATCACTACATAACACATTCTACATCACAACATATAACATTCACCATCACTACATAACACATTCTAGGTCACAACACATTATATGTCACTACATAACACATTCTACATCACAACATAACACATTCTACATCACTTCATAACACATTCTACATCACTACATAACACATTCTACATCACTACATATTACATTCTACCACACTTCATAAAACATTCTACATCACTACATATTACATTTTTCGTCTCTACAAAACACAATTCACATCTACATTAAACATTCTACAAAACAATTCTTGATGGGTACATAACAAATTATATATTACAGGTATTGGTATGACTTGCCCAGACCCGTCGGGATCTTATACCCTTCCAGATGGATCGGTGATTCCCATGGGTAAGGGTGTTTCCTCCACCCAGGGGAGGTCCAGTCTCCTGTACAATGAGTATCCTTTTGTGTTTGTGTTCAGCCCAGTAGTGTTTACACCAGTGCTATTAATCGTTTGTGTGTAATAAAGGAGGAATTGCCGGGGAATATAGGGGAAGGGTGGTAGAGAGAAATGAAGGGAAGAGGGGTAGAGATAAATGAAAGGAGAGATGGTAGAGATAAATGAAGGGAAGGATATGGTAGAGATAAATCAAGGGAGGGATATGGAAGAGAGAAATGAAGGGAGGAGTGGTAGAGATAAATCAAGGGAGGGATGGTAGAGATAAATGAAGGGAGGAGTGATAGAGATAAATGAAGAGGGACGGTAGAGATAAATGAAGGGAGGGATGGTAGAGAGAAATGAAGGGAGGGATATGGTAGAGAGAAATGAAGGAAGGAGTGGTAGAGGAAAAATAATGGGAGGGGTGGTAGAGGGAAATGGAAGGAGGGGTGATAGAGGTAAAATAATGGGAGTGGTGATAGAGGGAAATGAAAGGAGGGGTAATAGAGGGAAATGAAGGGAGGGGTAATAGAGGGAAATGAAGGGAAGGGTAATAGAGGGAAATGAAGGTAAGGGTGGTAGAGTGAAAATAATGGGAGGGTTGATAGAGTGAAAATAATGGGAGGGGTGATAGAGTGAAAATAATGGGAGGGGTGATAGAAGAAAATTAATAGGAGGGGTGGTAGTGGAAAATGAAGGGAGGGGTGATAGAGGGAAATGAAGGGAGGGGTGATAGAGGGAAAATAATGGGAGGGGGAGGGGAAAAAGGGGAGGGTAAATGAGGAAAATGAGGGAATTTCCGAAGGGGTGGTAGAGAGAATAATTTAACAGAAAAGTTAAAAGTATGGCCTCAAATTTGCTGGTGTTGCTCCCCAAGCTTAAGATTAATGAAGATTCTGATATATTGTGTTTTTTTGGTTGATGTTGCAGTTTAAATATATCCTTAACTTGTTGTTTAGATTCATTGTCTATGATGTGGCACAGATCAACATGAAGTACCTCCTCAAGGTCAACTTCAAACATAAATGGTAATCACAGAGAGGAAACCTCCCAAATCCCTCTAATAAGCCTGCACAACAACAAAGTCTCGACGTTAAGTGGACTGGGAAATACAAGGCATATTTGTAACATTATACAACAGAATCTTTGTAATCTCTGTCTTATTTTGGTATTGAGAGACAATTCCTGAAATACTATGATAGTACTTTTACTGTAGTGATTCTTGTACAAAATTGAGAGCTTCATTAATGGTGAAATTCTGTCCAGATGCTGTTTTCATTCTGAAGATGAGGCATCTCTCTAGAGACACAGAACAAATCTCGGAACTGTCACACTGTTGAGCAAACAGAATGTGTTGCATTGAACAAACAATGTGTTGCATTGAACAAACATAATGTGTTTCATTGAACAAACATAATGTGTTGCATTGAACAAACATTAACAAACATAATGTGTTGCATTGAACAAACAGAATGTGTTGCATTGAGCAAACACAATGTGTTGCAAACCTATAGGAACTGTCGAGATGTGGAACATTTATGAATATGCTGAGCTGTAGAGCAAATCTAGAAGCTGCATGAAATCTACTTTAAGAAGACCATGACACGGTGACCAAGCAGCCCTTGAAGGGTTTAGGTATTGATGCTGTGCTATTATTACACATTAAATCTAGTTCTGTGTAAGTCGACAGAATATGATGTCATGTTTTACTGTTACTTCATCTGTTGTTGTCCATTCGTTGTTTTCGTCATATTTGAAATTTAGTGATTTTCTTTTGGAACATCTTCAATAAGTATATCTGTTACTGGTGGATGTCAAGTTAGTGCTTTGTTGGTGTTTTTGTTTCATGTTTAGATATCAGTTGTATACGCAACAGTGTAAAAGGTTTTACCTAGTCTTGAAGTATTACCATGAAAGTGGTATTGGAATTTGAAGTGAATGACAAAGTCTTTGTTCATAAACTGTATTTTTTAAGGTTGTGTGATTATGTGAACTTTAACTGAATTATCAGTTTGAAGTGAACATCAGTTTATTTTCAACTAACTTTTTCTATACATTTATATGAACTCCTTTATGTAAAGTCTCTTTAAGATCTGGTTGTAAATGAAAGATTGATCATGGAGTAAAGTATCAATAATAATAGTTACTGAATTATGGAACCTTTCGTTTAAGTACCTATACCAACAGATCTATTGATAACAAATATATTAATAAATGATTATGATGTATTGAGTGTTTTTGTTATGCATTGATTTTTCATATATATATACATACAGATAATACAACACAGATGGAATGAATTTTGTAGAAAAAATGTGGTGTATGGAGGGAGTGTCTCACCGTCGCTACTTTGGGGTTTGAGTCCAGCTCCCAGCTTCTATACTAGTGTGACAAAGGTAAATCAACTTGTGTGTTTAGGACAAAGTCTGATTTGGGGTTTGAGTCCAGCTCCCAGCTTCTATACTAGTGTGGCAAAGGTAAATCAACTTGTGTGTTTAGTACAAAGTCTGATTTGGGGTTTGAGTCCAGCTCCCAGCTTCTATACTAGTGTGACAAAGGTAAATCAACTTGTGTGTTTAGGACAAAGTCTGATTTGGGGTTTGAGTCCAGCTCCCAGCTTCTATACTAGTGTGACAAAGGTAAATCAACTTGTGTGTTTAGGACAAAGTCTGATTTGGCCAGAACCATGCTGGGATGAAGGGCTTCCAAGTTTTTTCAACCTTCACCTTTATTCATGGTCACTGGTGGTCAAATATGTTTAAAACTTACATGACTGAATAAACAAAAGACCCAGGGTTATGATATTTGGAAAGAAGCATGCTGGGATAGAGTGCTAACAATTTTGTTGAAATTAATGACCTTCACCCTTTTCAGGGTCGCAGGGGTCAATTGTCTTAAAAAAACTTAAAGAACTTCTTCTGAATAACCAAAAGTCCCAGGGTGATGACATTTGGCCTGTAGCATTCAGAGTTGAAGGGCTTTCAATTTGTTCAATTGAACGACCTTCATTCATATTCAAGGTCACATTGATAAAATATGTCTTAAAAAGCTTTAAGTTCTTCTAAATAACGAAAAGGATCATGATTATGATATTTGGTCAGACGCGTGATGGGACAACCTGGTTTGTTAAAGAAAGAATGTCCTTCACTCTTATTAGGGTCGCAGGAGACGAATATCTTAAACAAAAACCTCTCAATCGCCAAAAGACCTATGGTGATGATATTTGGTCAGTATCATGCTTGGTGGAAGTCTGTCAAGTTTGTTCAAGTGAATGACCTTCACCCATAATCAATGCTACAGGGGTCAAATATTTTGGAATATGTAATGTCTTCTGAATAACCAAAAGGACCATGGCTATGATATTTGACTAGTAGAATGTCCAAAAGAATGACATTGGCTCGTATTCAAGGTCACAGGGGTCAATTATAACCAAAATGAAGAGGATGGTGATATTTGGCAAGTAGCCTGCCCAGATGAAGATCTATCAAGTTCGTTCATGTGAATGACATTAACGTACTTTCAAGGTCACATATTGGTCAAAAGATGTACACTTAAATTATCTCGTCTCGATAAACAAAAGGTCTAGTGTAGTGATATTTGGCAAGATGCATGTTGGGATAAAGGGCTATAAAGTGGTTCAACTTAATGACCTTGTTAGACTTTCAATGACAGGGGTCAAAAGTATGGGGTCACATGCTCGACCACATGGGGTTCCTTTCACAGTAAGACCCCGCACTAACATCTAGGCCAACAAGAGAGATTCGTAAATACAGCATTCTTTATAACAAAACTTGTCTCTCAGTTTGCTGAAAATGAAGATACCTAATATGAGTTCGTGCCTTTTGGTCCAAAGAATACTAATTCATCTGTCCGTCTGTCACAATCAAGGTCAAAATCACTGGGTCAAAGGTCAAGGTCAAATTCAGTATCTTTTCACTGGGGAACATTTTGTTATGACATTTTGAAGCAAAGTTGGTTGGAATCAAACAAGGAGTCAGTTGACCAAAGGTCAAGGCCACTGGGTCAAAGATGAAGGTTACATTTTGTATCTTTTCACTGGCGAACATTTCGTTCTGACACTTTGAAGCAATGTTGGTCAGAATTAAACGAGGAGTCAATTGACCAAAGGTCAAGGTCGAATTTTGTATCTTTGAAGCAATGTTGGTTAGAATTTAACAAGGAGTCAACTGACCTAAGGTCAATGTCACTGGGTCAATTTCAAGGTCAGATATTGTATCTTTTTTACTGATGAACATTTTTTGTATGTTATTATGAAGCAAAGTTCTTCAGAACTTAACACAGAGTCAACTGACCAAAGGTCAAGGTTACGGGTTCCAATGGTTCAAGGTCAAGTTTTGTATTTTTCACTGATGAACATTTTGTCATTATGAAGCAAAGTTGGTCGGAATTGAAGAATGAGTCAACTGACCAAAGATCAGGGTCACTGGGTTAAAGGTCAAGGTCATTTGGGTACAAAGGTCAAAGACAAAGTGGATCACTTACTTTGACCCTGGCTCTTGATGGGGGAGGTATTTAAGGTGAAATAAAACAAATCAAAGCTAACAAATGAGTATTGCACCGGTATTTACATTTCTGTTAGCCCAGCAAATATGGAAGTGGAAGGAAACAAGACTCATATCATAGTACATGTAAAATGCAGATTGCTTCCTGATGATTATGGGGGATATATTGCCACAAGACGGGGCCCTAAATGACCTGTCAGTGTTCTAGTTTCACCTATTGTTAGTTTTTCTATTGGCTAATAAGAGGAGACATATGTTTTTGTTCACAAAAACAAAATTCTAGTTAAATATCTACGAAGATAAATAATACTTGGCTTGTGGTTTGTTCGGGTGAATCAGAATAACAAAAGTATGTTTAAATAATTAAATTTGCACGCGTTTCGGAGAATAGACTAGTCAGTGCCTCATTTCACCAAGTGAAATGTTGGCGGAACTATAGAGGATGCTGTCTGCAAGTTGGAAAACTGTAAGGAAGAGATTAGTGAAAACCAGAGACAGTGAGGCACAAATATCTAAGTTTTCCAAGATATCGACATACACATTTAAAAAGAAGGGCAATGAAGAGCAATTCAATGCGAAAACGAGAATTGGTAGCAAGATGCGTGAGGCTCAGGTGGCACTACAGGAGAATACCGTACACAACGCTTTTACGGAGAGGGCCAGTGTGAAAATTAGTAAATGTATGGACATTATCACGCATAGGCAGAAACTTATAAAAATGGCAGATTCGTCGAGAGATCAATGCTTTGGCTGACGACTCGTAGGATGAGAAATGGAAAACGAGAGTGGAAGCGAGAGCGCAGAGGAAAGTAAAAGGCACAGAGAATGACGAGGCAAAAGCACTATTCCCCATATAGCGCCCCTTCAGCACGCCAGGTAGCGCACCCAGTCAGTTGGCGACGACGGTACCCGGGACCATGGATAGGAGACCAGGTTTGTGTTTTACCTGTGGAAAGCCTGGTCACTGGAGGATGGACTCTGTACAGCACAGGGCGGCGCAAGGCCAGACTAAGATGAGTACAAATTCATTTACATGTAATTGTGTGGAAGCATGTATGTCTGTACGAAATGAGTTTGTTCCGTTTGTCGTGAGGGGTCGGGTGAGAAATGCACAGGTAGAAGGTGTGGTTCTGTTTCAATGAACAAAATTATTACGTATTAGAATCGCGTACGAGGTCAGGTTCAGAGGTCAGGTCACTGGTAGGAATGTTGCGCAAGGTTTTGCATGAATGGGTGAGCACAGGGGTTTGTAAAAAATGTTGGATGTTATCCGCTTTGGTTATAAATTACCTTTGTATTCTATACCAGAGAATATTGTTTTGGGGAACAATAAATCCGCCAGGAACAATGGAGATTTTGTAAGACTGGAGATAGAAGCTTTCCTTTTGAAGGGTTGTGTACAGGAAGTCAATTGGATTCCGAAAGTAGTGAATCCCTTGACAGTGGCAGGAAACAAGGAGAAGTTAAAACTAGTTTTGGATTGCAGACATGTAAATCCGTGCCTCTAAAAAAATAAAAAAAAATAAAAATATTGAGTTTAAATATCTTGACTCTGCAGTGGCATTAGACATGTTTAAGAAAGATGATTGGGTATTTACTTTTAATCTCAAGTCAGCGTACCATCATATTGAGAATTTTACAGATCTTTCCTTGGGTTATCGATGGTAGTAGTAGTAGTAGTAGCAGCGTAGTGATGAAAACATGTTGGGATTCTCGGGTGTTCCTTTGCATGGAGACTATAGACGAAATACGATTTTGGTGTGCTAATGTAAGGCGATTGAAAGGATCTTTGATGGATAGATCATTCAAGCAGGATTACGTGGTGTATAGCGATGCATCTGCGACCGGACCGGTTATGGTGGTTACATTTTGCATGTAAAAGGCAGTGAGGTATTGGGTCAGTGGACAGAATCATGGAGTAAAGAAAGCTTAACTGGGAGGGAGCTCGAGGCAGTTCTCAGAATGCTGATGTATTTCGATGGTGGCCTAGTAGGTGTAAGGTATTGTGGTATACCGACAGCCAATTTGTGGCTGCGATTATGGTGAGTGGCAGTAAAGTTTCTGCACTTAACGACAAGGCGGTAAAGATAAGAGAGATATGTGAGGGTTGGAAGTTTTGCCAGCATGGGTGCCAATGGCAGATAATCAAATTGCTGACATGTACAGTAAATCCACAGATGGTGATGACTGGGGCATACGATACGAGGTTATCATAGAGTTGGAAGATAATTGGGGAGAGTTTACTGTAGATAAGTTTGCAAAAAACAGCAATGCTAGATACTCTGTTTTCGTAAAAGAGCCTGTAATGCTACTTCAAGGTAGTATAGATGCTGGGAATGATAAAATCAGTGTTTTAACGAGAACGGGGGTCCTCGTATGGTGGCACTGAGAATTGAATTTAGAACTCAGTTAGAACTGCAGAGCAGCATACGGACCGAAAGGAGTTGCTGGCTAAACACATGGCTTACATACTAAAGGCAAAGAGTGACAAGACAGTGAGCTAGTATTATAACGAATTTTAAAAAGTGGGAGAGCTTCTTAAGGCAGGACAGCTGTTGTCCACTTCCGGCGCAGCCTATACAGGTTGGGTTGTATATCACGCATCTTTTGGACGCGGTGGTTCATACAGGGTGGTACGACAGCAGTATCAACGGTTTGGATGACCCGATGGAGAACGGTCTTGAAGAAACCGATATGTTGGTGG